GGGGGGGTTCCTCGTCGTCGAGAGATTACGGCATTTGCCTCTCATTCAATAGGTCCCGGGTTCGAATCCGAATGGCGACGGGAAATGTTCTCTAAAATTTGTCTACTATCACCTCCATTGCTGCTCTGTAACAATGTTCTGTTATGGTTGGTAAGATCTAACACCTAGCCTTCTCGGATAGCGGCCAAAGATATTGGAGGTCCCGCGAGAAAGTTGCTCATGTTAAAGATCTCTCGGCGGTCTAAAATCGATAAGAGTGAACTTCGGCCGCCACCCGGGCACTATTCTAAATTCCCTACAAACTGAAAATGTCTGATGTGTCCCGTGCGCTCATATGACCTTATGCAGTTGCGAGCGCAGTAAAACCACACAAAAAAACCAAAAAACCCCAAAAAAACAACATTAATGCATGGAACAAAGTAAGACAGTTAAACAGAAATCATAAAAGACAAGAAATATCACCAAACAGTTGTGCTGTCCAACCACACACCGTCTTGTTGAAGTTCCATCTTCACACCCCCCCAATTAAATAGTTCATAAGGATAATTAAAATCAATTACACTATACAAGGCAAAAACAGTCTTCGGGATAGTGAGAGTTTTACGGCACTTGCAACACAATTATGATGGATAATATAAGTGCCGAAGATAAGGCGTGTTACGAATGAGAAGCAGACTAGGGAAACAATTGAGAGACAAAGACCAAAGAGAAGAGATAGGGACGATAGATGCCTGATAGGAAAGATGAAACGAACCGCACCAGAGCGCTCGCCACCCACCCACACGCAATCCCAAAAATACAGAAGCAAATTACAGGCGTCAAAACATAAAGCCACGCGTGGCCTTTCCATCAAAACGTAAAACAACAGGCACAATAATATTTCCCTCTCTCTGTAAATGTCACAGAGTCGACAGAGAAGATGAGATCTCTCCAAACTGTGTCATGACACTGCGGAATCAGAGGCTGTGGAATCAGGCGCTCGTCAATTTTTGAAGGGAGTTATTGTTATCATCTTGAAGCATGTTCATTTGTCTTGCTTTTTATGAAAACAATCGCCCATCTAAAATATCCTATAGAAGTCGAGATATTATAGATATAGATCTAGATACCTGAGGTAAAATTAGCGAGAAAATTGCCCTTAAAGTTTGATAATTTCCAAAGATAGGGAGTCCTTAAAAACAGTAAATTTACATTTTGGTGTGTCTTAAATCAACATTTTTAGTAAAAATCCATACTGCAATCTGTCTTTAAATGGACATTAAAGATGTTGAACCAATAATATTTGTTGAATCGATAAAAATCGCAAACGGGAAGAAAAATGCGGTTTTCTTTGATTTCACTATTTTGACGAGCGCCTGGTTTCCCCACGATGCCTCACATAAATATCAAGAGACCAAGCAGTCACGATCTGGTGACGAGCCACCCCTCTATGGATGAAGAAATCAAAAATCGTTTGTGGTGTAGATCTAGAACTTGGGTGCTCCGCTGTCGCACGCGGGAGACAAGAGTTCGATTCACGAGTGGGTAGAAATTTTGTATCGAGAATCTCAGTCTTTCTACTGGGATGTTGTGCCGCCCCTCCCCTCTCAGTCTGAGTTAGCAAGATGACAGGCAGGATCTGAAGCCCACCTCCTAAATGATTTAAATTGTGTTGATGGGGATGAAAAATACACCTACGTCACATCAAAGAGGAAACCGACATTCTCATGCATACTTCCTCCTTGTCTGTCTCATACCGGGTGCCCATTGCGGATGGGAT